TTTTTGATGCCAAGTGCGCAAGTGACCCAAAGTGCGCAAGTGACCGAAATTCCCAGTGCGCAAGTGACTGCCCGGCCCTTCTTGGTCGTTCGTTGCACCGCCGCACGAGGTGATGCGGGTGGTGGCCATCGCCAACTCCCAGTGCCTGGGCGATCGATCCGGAGAGTTCCATCCAGCTCCCGGGAGAGGCGCCTCGGTCGACGCCTCGACCTGGGTGCTCCGAGGTCGCTGCTGCGCATCCAGCAGGCCATCGACAGTGGCATGCACGTGGGGGGCACCGAGTGATCGGCGCCGAACCACTCGTCCGATCTCGTCCGAACCACTCGTCGAGTGATCGAGTAGAGGTTCGCCGTTGGCGCAGCCAAATTGTTTTGGAGGTTCGAACCGCCTTGCACGCCTTCAGGGAGTGTGGGCCCTGGCCGACGGCTTTAGGTTATGATATGTTATAGAATGGTACTCTGTACTGTGCCTGCGGCTGGTTGATCTCGCATTAAAGACACGTCACATCAGATCATCGTCATATGGATGAGTCTCAGAAAGGAACTCCAACGAAGATGCCAACGGAGAGATGGTAATTCACTTCATCCGTGAAGATGCCAGTGAGGTGTGACCGGGATGGCTGCCCGGCCCCCAAAACCGCGGGGCCGCGCTGGGAAGGCTGTGAAGACGGACGGTTTGATTATAGTCAATACACCTGGCTTGACAGAAGGAATAGTTTTAGTTAGGAAACACTTTGTCTATCTTTGTCTCTTTAGACTTCAATCATCATAATCTTCTCCTGCTCGAGTTTGATTCGCTTGTGACTTCAGGTGGCTTCCTGACCTGGAGCAATGGCCAGATCCGAGATTTTGTGCGGGCGCAAGGATACGCTGGGAGGGGCCAGACTATTAAATGCCAGACTCCAGCACAAAGCCTGTGCTTTTTTGGTGAAATGAGACTGGATGTTTCAAGACATTTTAAGGATCAAGCTGTGTCGCAGGCCTGATGTGGCCTATGGACCCTGTGGATTCGATTGGATTCTTGATTTTTGTTTTCTTTTTCTGGTTTGAGGGGTGAACTGGTGAACATCAGCAAGAAACGCAGCTGCGTCTAGAACATAGTACTTTGGTGTCTTCATAGACTCCTCGGGGAGCAAAACAGGAGGTCTAAGGAATTCCAGGTGTTTTCAGCGCTCCTGAGCTGGAAGCAAACACCTTGTAGAGATCAAGTTTCTGGGACTCAGTATCATTTAGTTCTGTGTCAAAAAATCCATTGAGCTCGCAGGAGGTGCGCATTTTGAGTTTCCGTTTTGCAGTCACTTGCAGCCACTTGCAGCCGCTTGAAAGTGGCTGCAAGTGGCTGCCCAAGGAAGTGGCTGCAAGTGGCTGCCAAGTGGCTGCAAGTGACTGCTACTTCTGTCCGGAGAATATCATGATTTCTCCGCACGCAGCTCTGGAGAAAGCCACGATTTCTGCTGTTCTGCGAAGAAATTCCGGTTTTCTCCAGAGCTGCGCGCTGAGAAATCATGAAATAATCCAAGACTTGTCTGAGAATAAATTCCAAACTTTTGCAGAGCTAGCGACGAAGAAATCTTGCAGCTTTTACATAAAGAACTCAAAGTGCACGTGTTGAAGTGTACTTGCTTGAATGACAAGTGGCTGCCAAGTGGCTGCCCGAGAAAGTGGCTGCAAGTGACTGCAAAACCAAAATTCATTTGCTCGCTCTTCTCTGAAAGAAATCACTGTCACTACCATAATCACACCTTCCCAGACATGAACAATCTGATTGGACCCGATGCCTTCGATGATCGAGGTGATGACGGTCTTCATCCAATTGGGCCTAGTGCCCCCCGCCGAGTGCGGCCGCCAAGCAGGTCATCGTGATAGAGAGACATTGGGAGTGTTTCGAAATCATAGAGATGTCTCGGACCCTAGGAAACACATGTCATCATCGAATTCTCAAGTATATAATTAAGCCGAGAAACAATGAGTGTGGGGTGCTGGTGCTGGATTGTCACAATATCTCAAACAGGGATGGGAGCCAAGGTTTTAGAATTTCTGTGATAGGAACAGTAATTTTGTTGTCACTGCTGCGCTGTGCTGAGGATGCAGACTTACGCAGCCCACACACTCTTCGACATGAACAGGAAAGGCGAAGAAAACCCATTTGGTTTATGCAGATGCCACCGTGAGGCAATGTCTGGATCGGTTCATGGCCCACAGTTTGGGGGAGTCGCGCTACCTGTAAAAGTCGGTAGCCATTTGTCACTGTCACTTTTTTTTTTAGAAAGGCCTTACTAACCATCACCATCCACTGCTACAGGGAATGGTATTATAGTATATATATATATATATTATTTACTATATATATATATATATTGTATTTGTATTATATATATATACACATAATATATATATATATATTTCATATTATATCTAGTTTATATACACAAAGTAAAGTCTTCACGTTTTTTCACGCGCAGGACCATGTGCCTGTCGGCGTGCAGACGCCTCAGCGTTTCCGGTTTCTGGGCCGAGTCGCAGAATGATCACCGGGGGTAGGCAAGCAGCCACTGGAGTGATTTTTTGTTGGTCTATGATGTTGGTCTGCAATTCGTTTGGACATGCGTGATGCTTGGCTTTTGCGCTGGATCTATTTATGGTAGCTATGCGAACGAAGTGAGTAAAGGGTGTGTGTGGGGGGGGTGGTTGCGAGAGGGGCAATCTTGGAGAGGCTGACCCAGAGCCTGGTGGGGGAGAGCGAAAAAATAGAGGTGGCCACTTGGTAGTGAACATGACGCGAGTAGTTTTTGGGGGTGTTGTGATGCCGGTGATGTAATTGACGGTTAGTAGTGCATCATTCGCATCACGAGGGCTCAGGAGGCAATGTAAACCGTTTTCTACCAGTGGTGGGAGTTCAGGTCAATGATAGGAAAGAGGGGACAACCGGACGCGAAAAGTGGTTGAATTCCTCCAGAAAATGGAGATGTGCGCCTATCATGGCCAGTGAAGCAGTGTTCGACCAGGGGTGAAAAGGAGGTGTGTGTCTCTTAAGACACTGTGTGATCTGTGAGGACCCAAAATGCAGTGGGAAGGTGGAAGACAGGCATAGCGTAGGAGGACGTGGTAGGAAAAGAGGGCTTGCAAGAAATGTTACAGTTGCTTGGGGGTGCCCTTTTAGATGGTGAAGACGCCTGTCAACTATACGCACAAGGTCACCCCATATGGGGTGCGAGTTCATGTATGCTGTGGTCCGTTGACACCCCATATGGGGTGCGAGCTCATGTGGACGAGACAGGCATAGGGAGGAGGACGTGATAGGAAAAGAGGGATTGCAAACCAAACGATATCTTTTACGGCGGCTGGCTTTCGTCCCCTCCCAGGTTCTATCCATACCTTCCTGTATTCTTGCTGCACCTGCACAGCTTTGTCCTGTTTCACCAGAGACGCACTCCCAGCCCCTTCCATGGTTTAAACTACCTTAGGACCTTTCTCAATCTTGCATCACCCTGGAGAATGTGTCGTGTCTTTCAGGGTCGATATAGGGGTAGGTGAACAACGCCTTGAAGGCTCTTTGGTACCACCAAAACAAACATGGTCTTGTGTCTAGGAAGTTTGGCGACTTGGCCTCATAAATCGTTTGTTTGAGCCTCTTGGGGGTTTTCGGCATCCCAAGAAAGGCGATTGCCTCTGCTTGGTGGATGCCTTGCTCCGCGCGCGGGGCCTGGAACAGGGCCTTGTTGGGGTTAAAGGCTCGTTGGGTGAAAGGAGCAATCCTCTGCCAGAAGAGAGGTACGATTTGGGCGTTCCTTTCGAAAACTTTTGGGTCAACAAGTCTTGATAAGTCTTGAAGATGCTAGGTTTCTGCTTGATTGATCCCGCTCGCCGGTTCCATTGGGACACTGTTGAGACTCCACCAGAAACATCGGGTGTTAAAGCGAGCGGACGATGTCCCACCGGAATCTCTCCGGGTCTCAGGCCATTTTCCTGGTGGATGGGCAAGAGCAGGTGCGGAGAAAGCCTTGCATCAGCTGTCGAGCGTTTTGGGTGGAACACACTCACCCAGACGAACCCCCAACTACTGGCTGCTGAGAAAGCAGCTGGAGAAATCATTTGATTTCGAGACCTAGGGTCTCTACTAAACTGCTTGGAACTACTTGGCGAGCGGGGCCAGTCTTGCAGTCTTCTTGTGAAGCACGTGTCCAGAGTAGCCGTCAACGATGCCTCAGGAAAAGGAAATTGAAGTAATCAACTGGTCTATCTAGACGGATCATCCAGGTCCCCAAGACCAACCTAAGAGCGATGGCCTCCAACCTAAGAGCATGAGTTGCTTGACAGTCTATACAACATCATGCCACGATCAACAGGATGCCACGATCTGAAGATATCTCAGTGGCCGCCGCCGCCTCCACCGCCTGTCGCTCCAGCACTGGCCGCTCCTTCGCCAGGCCAGCCGCCGGCCTGTCTCGTCCTTTTCCTCCAGCCTCAGCTCTCCAGTGGCTGAGGCGGAGAGTCACGGTTTGGAGCCACCGGAGACGACGGGGGCGTCAGGAGTCTTAGCCTGAAATAGACTAGACCGGTCAAAGCCCTCGACATATTGCCCTTGAAAACGGTGGCATCAACCACAATTAGAGGTCAACACTGCAGGCGAGCATCGAAGGCGCAGAGGTGTACTGTACCACCAAGAGGGGTGTTTCTTCTTTCTTTCATAGTACAAAGCAAAACCGCTTCCAGCGTTCTCAATGCAATGCATTCATCTCTTGTTGCAGGTAGGAAGAAATTACTGTAAAAGACTTAGTAGGACTTAGTGCCTGGTCAGAAGGTTGCAGATGCTTTCAATTGCCATAGCTACCACCAGTTTCGGGCACACCTCCATATTCGGTCACAGGAGCTGAAGCAGGCACAGGCGGAGACAGAGAGGCTGAGGCCGAGAGGGAGGGAGTTGCAGAGGATTTTGCTGAGGATTTTGCAGTAATTAGGAGCTAAGAGGCTTTCCAGCCAGGCTTTTGAGGGGCTAAATGAATCGATATCAGTTTGATCATGTGGAAAGTAGAACAGGTCATTTAGAGGATGCTTGAATTGTCGAGGTGCTCAGATTTGAATCACATCATCATATGAGCAAAGTGCTAAAGGTCGGCACTCACGGTTCTTCAAAAATGAGCCATTTGCATTTTCCTTGAAAAAACGATACCAATCCCAAAAACGATACCTAGCCTCGTGACGGTACACATCTTGGAAATTATTGGAATCTATCTTTGCCTGTTGACAATGTTGACACTCGAGACTCGAGACAGTGTATGTCCAAGGTTATTTTGCATATGGTTTGCCATGCTAGCTGGACATTCCATTTCATTTTTGCTAAGTTTCCCTTCTTTTTCTTCGATGGGAAACAATTATGGGTTCAGACCGATACCAAAAACGATACCAAACGATACCCACTTCATAGGTCTGTATCCCCTCAGACACCACCTGCCCACTCACATGCCACTACTACTGCCACTACTTCTATTTCTGCTACTACTACTACTACTACAATTACTACTACTACTACTACTACTTCTACTACAATTACTACTACTACTACTACTACTACTACTACTAGTACTACTACTACTACTACTACTACAACTACAACTACAACTACAACTACAACTACAACTACAACTACAATTACTACTACTACTACTACCACTACTACTACTACTAGTAGTAGTAGTAGTAGTACTAGTACTAGTACTAGTACTAGTGCACGACGACTACTAGTCATCATTTGCAAGATCACCTTCCAGAGCAATTTACATGTAGACGATACCTCCCCCCCAAAAAATTGCATATGGATTGAAAACACGATACCAATCCCAAAAACGATACCATGCGCTAAACCTACCACCAAACGACCCCTAGTTTTGCCGGTCGCTCATATAGGTGTCCGATTGAACACTACTCTCACCAACTTCCACTTTCCTTCTTAACGTATCAGATAAGCTGCCGTCGCAGGCAAGAGCTTGCTCCTTGCCAGCAAGAGCTGTGTGGTTTCTTGTGGTCAAGCCAACGCCAAAAAAAGAGGGAACGTGCAACTCTAGTCTAGTCGGCAATGATCTTGGAGTGAAACTGCCGAGCTTACCAGTAACCATCATGTGTAGTACCTTAGCGTTTGAGCCATAGCCAAAAGTGGAAGCTGACAGGCAGCTCTTTTGAAGTGCAAGCTGCACCAAAGCACAAACCCATTTGCAGCGTTTTGAGTGGAAAGGGTGTGGTGCGCTAAGCATCGCTAGGCACTGGAAACCTATCCAACTCATTGTGCTGACCTTCGCTGAGGAGGAGTTGAAGGCGGCTGAAGCTGCAGCAGCTGAAGATGAACACCTTGGGAGGCCGCGGTGCTATGCCATTAGAGTATGCCATGGCCATGAGAGGTCGGATTACAGGCACGTCTTCCAGTGAAGGCACCAACATTTGGGCCGGACAGCTTGCAGATTCTTCGGTCCCAGATGTTCCAAAGGCTTCAGAACTTCAGGATTCTTCAGGATTCTTCAGGCACAAGCTGGCTTCAACATACCCTTTTTCTTGGTACAAGAATGCTATGTTGGCTTAGGATGGGCATCTTCAATGAAAGAAGGTTCCTTAGACATGGCTGGGAATGCCTGTAAATTGGCCCAAGCCTGCTAGCAACTTGTGACGTCCTGGCCTGGATTCTGCGCCTCTTTGTTGTCTCAACATGGCCCTTCCCATGAAGAAGTCAGTGATGAAGTCGTCG